CCCAGCCCCGTATTTTATTTAATCAAAAATATTCAACATGTGGCACTAGCATATTTAGGTGTTTAACAGCCATATGAGGTTAACAGCCACCACATTAGACACCACAGTCATAGAACTATCACCTCTTTCCAGATAGTAACTAAAACTGAAAGACGGTGGGTGGTGATGCCCTCTACATTCCCATTTAAATCATGTTTCTAGGTTAATGTGAGGCCGGATGAATGCAGACTTAATCACCTCATAAATGCCAAAAGCAGATGCCATTTCTATCTGTACCTTCACTGGATCACATTAAAATAGCCCCTGACACCAGGTATGAAGGTATTAACAATTTCTTTTAAAAATAATTCCTTATCAACAAAGATAATCAGAAGCAGTTGGCCTTCACATTACAGGAACAGCATACTTTCGCTATCTTACCTGAAGGTTAGGTCAACTTTCTTCTCTTTGTCATAATATAGTCCAAACAAATCTCGTTCATCTTGACATCCCACAGAACATCAAGCTGGAACATTACATTCATGGTATCATACTGACTGGACTTGAGGAGCAGGAAGCAGTAAATACCTAAGATACCTCGGGAAGGTACACGCCAGAGGCCAGGAGATAACCTCCGAGGAAGTTCAGAAACTTGCGGCACTGGTGAAACGCTAAGGCCAGTGGCCGGGGCAGCTCGAAACGGATCCCCCACAGCAGATGACAGGCCGCTGCACCTTGCATGTTTCATGCTGAAGAAGGAGGCACAGATGCGGTGCCCTCTTTCGATTTTGGAGAAGAAATTCCACATGGGGCAGCTGCTCCGATGCAGGAACCAGACATGCTCGGGGCTGCGGTGCAGGAGGACCGGGGCAAGAAGAGGGCCTGTCGCCTGCCTCTGCTGTGGCGGGAGCTGCCCTATCCCCACGGCTGTAACTCCAGCAATGCAATGATTTTTGAAATTGTCTGTGACTGTAAAACATCTGTCAATGGAGGCATCAGAGTGAAGACTTTTTTTTTTTTTTTTAATTAAAGACATGCGATCTTGTACCAATAATTATTCTCCACTTTAATGGCTTCTCCTAACTTGCTATTGGACTCTGTTTAAGACTGAGAGTACTACTGCACCATGGGACTCCAAATGACTATGTGGCCCAAACTACATAAAATGAACTAGGTGTTATCTGACTCAATAAAACATCGAATAGGTTGTCCACAAGAGCATTTCATAGTTAAATGAACTGGGACCATGCAGATTTGGGAAGCCCAAGTATACTTCATGATCAAGTAGCCCAAGTGTCCCTGACACCAGCTACTACTGCTTCACAATCTCTCCTCAGGCCACTGTGTGGCCTCACTGGGTGTTCTCAGCGGCCAACAAGTGGAGGATGCATCTGTGTGGACCTACTTCATAAATGGATTGGTAGTTGCTATGAGCTGTGACCGCTGTGTTACCTGCACACTGAGGGGGCTGGCCCTGAAATACAGTAGTGAAAGGATATCCCCCAGTAGAATTTCAGACTGTACCCTTTGCATAAGGAGCGATATCTGAGGTAATGATACATGCTATGACCTATAGTCAAGGACTTGGAAGAACAAGACTGGAAAACCGGTGACAGAGATCTGAGAGAGAGTTGTGTGAACGAATCTCAGAATGAGTATGGAGTGTGATGACCTGCCAGTGGGAATTCCCTCCAGAAGGTGCCCACAGGGGAGAAGGCTCTTATAGAGTATCTGACGGGTGACCCAAACCAATTAGACAAGCTATTTTACAAATGTCAGTCAGACTCTTCACCTAGCTACTCTTGTGACTACTCAAGGAAGTGGCCCATGTACAAAGTGACAAGGAGGCAACAGAGATGAAATCTATGTACAGATTCAACAACTTGGCCTTTTCCCTCTCTATACTTGATTTACTCCCACCACTGACAGGTTCACAACTTTCTAATGCCAAAACCCTGATACGGTACCATACCCCAGGGGGTTAACCAGACAATTGGTAGCAGGCAGGTTACAACTTTCACTATGAAGGAGGGAGAAATGTATCCTCTTAGGATATAATAGATATGCAGGATATAGATTTATATCCCCTTCCTTCAATACTTTTGCAAGGTCCTCTATACACGAATTTAACAGAATGCCCTACCAAGTACCATGGTATTTCTTAAAATATTGCCTTCACCCAGGAAACTCATTTTACAGCAAAGGAAATACAGCAATGGACTCAAACCTACATATTTCACTGGTCATACTTCATGTCCCATCACTCAGAATCACCTGGCTAGAGCAGGGGTAAAATGGCCTGCCAGTGGAGAAGTTTGGGAGTATTCTACAGGACATGATAACTGCGTAACGCCATGTCCTCCACAGCTGCGACGCATGAGTCTGAGAACAAAGACGCTGAGCCAGGAGTGGTCGCAATACATCCAATAACTCATGTAAAGAAATTTTACTTCCTGTGCTGAAATCTTGGGATGGGTGGTTTTGGACAATTCAGTGCCCCAAGGGAAGAATGTTTCCACCACGGATCAGAGTTCTGGTACTGTTGTTTTGGATACTGAGACCACTTTGTGGCTATTTGGGGGCATCTCAAGCTCCTGAACTCTGGGGAGAGAAGTCGGCTATTGTTTGGTAATTTTTCCAGATTACTAACATGATCTGGGGTCGTTGCTGTATGATAGGGGCAAATACAACCATGATGGGAGTTCAGGAGATTCACTGGAGCACCCCTTAAGAAAACTTGCCCGATAATCTTGGTTATTAAAAAACTGCCTTAATCCTGCTTATTGTAAAACTGCAGGAATCTGAGAAAGACAAGACCACCAGTACCCTGAACTTCTAGAAATAAGGTTTGGGTCACCCATCGGATAATGAAACCTGGCCAGCCCAGGAGCTAAAAAGAGGGTGAAGGGAAGACAGTTGGTAGTAGAATAGCACTATCATGATCAATGTGAGGTTTCTGACCAGTGAAGCATGGACTTCAGCAGCTTTGTTTCATGTTTATTATGAAAAACATTGGTGATGGCTAATATTTTAGATTACAGTTGGAAGGATGACTAAATTGATATCAGCCCTTGATGATGTGGTAGCTGAATGATAGATACCTCTCTCCCTCATCACTCCATTAAACTCTCTTTAATTAGCCACATCTTACGCTGTTTAGATAGCTGTAAAAACCATGCCTTGATATACCAAACTGCAAAATCAGCATGATTGTAGTTATAGGAACCATGGTGTTCTTTTAGTTTCTTTGATTTTATTTTTTTTTAACCTCAAAGTAGCAATATATTTATATGTAAAATATGCAATTTCACAGAAACAGCTTCAATGTATACACATAAACTTTACAATTACCCAGAACCATGTAAATAGGTTAAGGACCTGGCCTGACCAAAGCTAATGGGAGTGGGCTACTTCTGGAGTGACATCTTTCCCTCCCCTCACTATCACCCACCAACCAGGTGCCTCAGATGGGCCATGCCCAATTTGCATAAATAAGTTAATTGCAGCTGCTCAGTTCAATCTACCACAAAATCCAAGGTGTCCTGACTTGTGAGACACCACCCAAAGGGATAGATCTATTAAAAGAACAAAAAGGAAATCAAGGAAACAGAAATTGTGATGAAGACTGAATGTCTTCCAGAGGTGTCACTGGGCACTGACCCTTCTAAGAATATAGCAATTGCCAGGTAAAGAAACATGTGTACACTAAGCCATAATATCAAAAGGAACACAATTTTATAAAGAATGAAACATGTTTACATTTCTTTTTGTCTCAACTTCATACAATAGATATGTTCATGAAAACCTATGTTTTACATAATCCTTGGTCAACTTGACAACACTTTAATAAGCTAGCTAAAGAAAATAACTCATATCTTAAAAATTTTTCAATAAAGAATAATTTTTATAATAAAAATACCACTTTAAGATAAAGTTTTCATAGCATAATTTCAAAATAAAATATTTATAGTTGGAAATATGTGAATTACTTTGAGTCAGGGAGGAAAGTAAAATATATAAAGTGTGTTGTTTTAATGCTTACATTAATTTCACCTTTCTGTAACTGCCCCAAATTTGAGTTAATATCTAAATAGTTTAACATATTTCACACTCATGTTAAAAAAGCCTTGAAACTTAATGGGAAAAATGTAAAGAAAGATAATACAAGCATTACCTCACAGTCCACAGCACTAAAACAACTTGTCAAAGTAGATGAAAACATCACTTCCATCGTATCTTTATATCAAAATTAAATCTTAATATGTCACCGGGAATAGAAGGAGCACATAAAAGTAGCATGAGAGTATTCTAGATTAATTTTCCACCTTTAACTTCTAGGTTATGGCAATTGATGCTAAAAGTCAAATAAGATTCATTCAGATTTCTAGCCATTTCTTCTCTTTTAAGTACTATATTCTAGCATTAAAAAAAAATCAAACTTTTTCCAGATATTTAATGATAATTTATGAAGCAGAGAAAAGTTTTGAGAACATCCAAAGACTATAGTTTGAGAGATAAAGAAACAAGACTTAAAAGGAAATATAATATACTTTAATAGCCAATTTTCTAATAAGCATATTTTCAAGTTTAAAAATAGCAACATTTGACTTCCTACTGAGATCCCAGCCTGGTTGTTGTAATCGGTCAAAAAAAATAATAATAATAATAATAATAACCACAGCTTTCATCTCCTCTATTGTAACATCAGCAACTGTGATACTTCACATTATCCTGGATTAATCATAATTATTGTGCTAATAATTATAAAATTGAAAAATTTATGTAATAGCTGTTCTCCTAAATAAAATGAGACATGTCAGTTGACAGGGCTCTTCTTTGCCAAGTCTAGAAGGGCCAGCTGCATCTTGCAAGATTGATCAGTTAGTCAATATACACAAGTAAAAATACTGTCTAGGTCATTCCCAGCCATGTTCCAAAGCTGTAAGTTACTGTGTGTTATCAATGGCACTCTCCTGAATCTCCAATGTTAGCTTTCTTCTCAAAGAGCTGCCGACACTTACCAGAGTGGGTCCTGAGGTGTCCTGTGAGGGCGTCCCTTCTCCTACACGCATAGCTACAGAAAGGACATTTGAACGGCTTCTCCCCAGAGTGTAACTTGATGTGTCTCAGAAGATTGCCCTTCTGAGTAAAGGAAGCTCCACACTGGTTACAGTGGAAGGGACGCTCACCTGCCGGAAGGGAAGGAGACGAGAAAAGTCAGGTGGGTGGTGTGCAAGTGACTAACTCTCCATATCCTGTTAACTAGAACCAGTCCTCCGTGCTGGGGACATTTACCTCCCTTCTAAGTCTTCCAAACCCTTACCTCCCTAGAGTTTGCTTTGCAAATACGAAGTCTCAAACTTTAGGTCAAGTGTCATTTCCCCCATCACTTTGCATGTAATATTTCAGTCCTCATAGTGACATAACTAATCAGGCATCTATACTTTCAATTTACAAATGAAATTGAAGCACAAGTATCAAAGTGTCTGATTAGAGTCCCAGAGCTAGTAAGTACTCAACCTGATCATTAATCTTGGTCGGTTTGACTATATCTTGCTCTCTTTATTGTACCATGCTCTCTTTGAAACTAACATACATTTTGAGTTGAAAGGGACCTTTAGTCTAACTCTCTCATTTAGCTGATTTCTTAACAGGGGGCAAGAGAGGTTCAGTGAATGAACCATGTTACAAAGCTCATTACCACAAAATCTCTAAAGATTTTGAGGTCTCTCAGTTCTCCTACTCACCAACAGAAAAAGCTTGGGCAAAATTTTGTATAATCCAAGAAAATTATTCATTCAAACATTTCTTATATACTATCTTTATGCTGTCAAAATCATTTGTTTGATAGGAATCTTTTCTCCTATTACTGATATTGCTATAAAACTGTTTAAGTCATAATTATCAGCTCAGTCTATTGCCATCACCTGGCTGTCACCAAACATAAACACAGGTTGTTGATGATGGAGTAAAATGAACAAGTGGATCAAATTGATAACATTAATCAAATCATGAAGAAAATACTATTATTTTAAGTTTATCTATTTCTAAAGATAGACATGAAACATATAAATTAATATATAAACAGTATAAATATATATTAAAGCTTGAAATTTAGAATAAAAATAAAATTAAAAAACGATTCCCTTTTGGTTAAACTGGACCATTTCTGAATTTGAAGTTAGATAAAGATGACAATTTTAATAGTTAAAAAAATTTTTGAACTGAATTGTCATGTTTCATATCTTTAACTAAAACATAATAATAGTGAATAATCCAACCTCAATATTTTAGGGTTACCTTTAATATATAATGCAAACTCAGTGATTCTTTTAAATTTAAAAAATATAGGAAGCATAAAGAAAAAAAAGAATTGGTCCCTTTCTAGCAGCTGCCACTGAATATTCTATCATATAGATTTGATATAAACACTAAAGAAATTGAAAAATTGATAATGAGTTGTACCTTGAATTCTGTAGTACATGCTGGTTTTGAAATTTATTAAGATTCATACCAAAAAGGTGTAATCTCTATGTGTGTAGCAAGGGTTAAGTTTTTTTCTTAAGAAATCTGGATATCTTATGAGCTAAGTCTACAAAATGTCCTATACTGGAGTATAAGGTTGGAAAAATTATCTGTCACATTAAAGTTGCCTTATATTTGATCTTTAGTTAACTTTTCTGATTCATTTGCTACTACTGACAAGTTAAATCAATGCTAAATGCAGTTTATAAGAGAAATACTTGACCTAAAACTTCTCAAATGCAGTATTTCAAAATATTCAACAATTTAAAATAAATACTTGTTTATTTTATACATACATATGCACACACACATGCACACACGCATATAAACTTAAATAAATTCTCTGACATTTTTCCCCAATGAAGTAGCATTCTACAACATTTTTAAAATCAGGGTTTTATTTTCCACTACCCACCCCTGCCATGGAAATAGTAATAAAAGGAAGGAGGAGGCACTTTCTTCATGAAATTAAATTTCTAGACAGTAGAAAAATAGCAAATTTAAATAATAATTTTCACTCCAAATATTTTATTTTACTTTTGAAATCTGTCTTTGTAGAATTTCCCAAGCAAGTAACAAATCAGTATATAATAACGTTAAAATGAATTAAATTAGGGTGGTGAACAAAAACATCTGAAATGTTTGCCTTTGGAAAATATACCACTAACATGTTAATCAGATTTTCTTGAAGCCTCTCACAATTCAAGTGTTTTAAAATTATGATTTAGAGAACTGAATTTATCATTTAATATAATGCTAATCTAAAAACTAAAAAATAATAAGAATAACTTTTCAAAATAATTTTTAAATTAATCTAATTGAGTTTATCAGACAAATGGCAGAGTAATTTAGCATTTTAAGTTTTTTAAAATTGATTTTGAGAGAGAGAGAAAGGGAGAGGGAGAAAGGGAGAAACATCATGTGAGAGTCAAACATCATGGGCTGCCTCCTGCACTCCCCCTACCAGGGACTGAGCGGGTAACCTGGGCATGTGCCCTGGCCTGGCATCAATCAGCAACCTTTTAGTCCACAGGATGAGACCTAACCAATTGAGCCACACTGGCCAGGGCAGCAATTTAGTTTTTACATTTACAAATATTCTAGACATCATCAGATATTTTTCAATAAGAACTGCTTCTGAATTTATATAATCATTCTTAAAGGGGCAGGAAAAACAAAAGAGGACCTAGGTATATCGGGAAATACTGCCACGTTGCTGAGTGCATAGGCTGAGAGTGGAGGCGCCTGCTATGTTCCCATGGCCGTGGGGAGTGAAGAGGCATCATGGAAGTGAGCGGTCACACTTCCATTTTGGATAAGAGGGAAGAGGCAATGTTAATAATGTACTCTGATTTCAATCAGATGAACCTTTGAAGAATACAGATCTGCTTTACATGAATTGTCTTAATTTTCTTTTTAATTCTTGTATACTAATTCTATGGTTTTACTCTTTTGGGGCTGAAATCTTCTTAACCACTCTTAATGTCTTAATTATGTAAATGGTAATTATTTCCACAACCCTCTATTTTTTTTTTTTTTTGCATGTGTCCCACACTAAATCTAGGTGGAATTACAGTGAAAACCCTGGATAAACTACCGTTGCAGTCAAGGATAAAAACAGAGTTTAACTTAATGAGGTTTTTTTGTTTTTGTTTTTGTTTTTAGTATATGTCCTTATAATACAAGAGGAGTCATATCCAAATCTGTTTAATAACAAATAAAAAATAAGTAGACTGACTAATTTTTTTCTATAAAGCTATCCCTATAAAATGTGAGCAATCCTCTTATTAAATGCTTTGGGATTTTCTTGGAATAGAAATTTACAGAAATATGTGTAAAATGATCTGATAAGTAAGCAAAAGGTTCAGTTAACTACCTGTATTGTCTATGTAACTTGAAATAACCCATCTCAATTATTTCTTTTTTAATAATTTTTTTTTCAATAAATAGACTGAGTCAACAGATTTTTTTTAAGTCGGTTTGGACCCTGTCGGAAAAAAATAATAATGTTCTTCTTCAGATGTAAATAAAAGCAAATTTCAGATATACCCCACAAATTTACTAAAAACATTAATGACATTATAGAGTAATTCAATTAAAAAATCAAAGTAGGCTATTGTGTCTGTGATAACTAATCCTCTCCTGTAAGTGGGTACAAATCCTGGGTTAACAACTCTGGATCCATTCTCATTCTGTTTGTTTTATAACTCAATCTATGAATCTACTCAAGGACCATTTTTAGTTATTCAATGGATGAAGTTATCTATTATTCTTATTATGGAATAAATTGTATTTCAATATTTTATGTATTTTCATAAACATATTCCTAGATCTGTATTTAAATATTCAATTGACATGCAAGTGTACATGCAACAATTTGCTTTGGTGAATCGAAAACAGTGGGTGTTTGTGTGCTGGATAGAACAATAATCCATGAATGTGAAAAATCAGCGCATGGAGACAGGGCCATGGAGCAGAAGGGCTCCACAAAGCTTTGGTGTACAAAGTACTGTGCTGAAAGCTTGAAGTTACAAAGATGAGAGTACTCTCCATCAAAGAGGGGCACAATTAAGGATATTCTGTATTTATAATGTTTACGTCAATTCGAGTTTATGCATAAATTGATTTACTGCCCCTACTTCTTTTCTCCTCTCTATTCTCAATGAAGAGTGCCTGGTGTATCCGATGAAAATATTACCTGATTACCTACTACAGTAGCAACAGCAAAGAAATAACACCAACCCATAAATAAAATACTGGAATTGGCACTTTAGTAGAGTTTGAAAGGGAAAGAAGAAGTGAATTGGATGTGATACTCCATATCATTTACTGAACTGGGTACTTGTGTATCTTTTTTCACAATCAATTTTATATTAGATATTTTATGAGCTAAAAATACATATGTTTCCCAAAGGATTTATAAAGATTTAAGATAGTGCATTTTATACTAGTTCTAAATAACTGGTGAGAGGAGGAAGTTCTAAAATGAACACCATAGTTCATGGTATTAAGGAGAAAACATCTGATGACTGACTAGATTCTGACTGCATTTTTTTTCAATCTAGTTTAAATTGAAGAAATACAAGAAGACATTCTATTCTAGTATTAAAATGGAGTAGAAAAGGTCATGACCCACTCAGATGTATAAACTGGGTCAGCAGAAATACTTACAGAAATAGCTAATTTAAAATATATCGCAATTTCAAGGTCAACAAAGTGGTAGGTATGCCCTGCTCCTCTTTGAATGACTATTACTTTAACAACACTTTCCATAGCTGAGGAAAGTGTAAGAATTTTTACAATACTCAAATAAACATTCATTAACAGTAAAAGTTCATACAGTTGCAAAAGTACTTTAAATGGTTTATTTAGTCCATTCTCCTTGCTTTTACTAGCTGAGTGAATCTCATAATTCTAGGACTTGTGGAAATCTGTATAATCATTTAGAAACATTTCCCATGTCAGTGAGAAAATTTTAGAATCAAAATAACCCAAGTCTACTACAGTAGTAAATATTAAATGGACAGCAGAATAGGTATGTAATTATTACTGCTTACAAAGCAACAATCCTCATGGAAATCACTGCAGACAGTGCAACATTGATTGACCTAAATTTTCAAGAGAGCATACTCTTTGAATTTTCTTAACTCAGAGCACAAAAGGTTTATTAAAATTTTACAAAAATTGTTTTTAGCACATTTTTCAGCTTTAAAATGAATACTATAGGCAATTCAACTGAAAAGGCACTAGACTAATTTTGTTTTGTTTGTATTGTTGATAGCTGGCAGAGTTAGAAATCTGGATGAACATCTTCTTCCTCAACATAATCAGAGATAATATATTATAACTTTGTACAACTCTTCTTTTAGAACTGCAGTTAGAATTATTTCATGAGCATGGGAGAAAAGTAGACTCATTCTCTTACAGTCTTTTCCTTTTTCATCTTATCAAATATGATATCCAAGCTCGATCTTTTAACTTTTCCATGAGACATTTTATAAAATGAAAGGAAGAGAACATTTTCACTAATAACATAAATATTACTATAAAATTTTTAATCTAGATATTTTAAAATATAAGGCTATTTAAATGGAAATTCAAAACTAAACAAAAATGTAGAAATGTTACTGCTTGTATGGTTGGAATAGTTTTAAATCCTTATAAAGTTGACAATATTGATTAAAATAACACTGATTTTACCATACAATTTCTTACTATAATTTTTTAAATGTCAGCCTTATAATGATTCTTCATCATAAAATGTAGGTATATTGATATACCAAGCACTGTATATTTGAACAAAACCACTCTGGGCATCATAAAACCTTGGCTCTAGCCTCATAATGCCCTTAACCTCATAAGGGATAATGCATCAATCATGACTGCTTTGGGCTTCAGTTTCTTCCTGAGTAAATGAGAGGGGTAGACTAAAAACTTCATTGTACCTTGTATCTCTCATGTTTGAAGCACCTACGAATCATTTACAAATCAATATTTTAAATACATTTATTATAATTTATTTCTCTTCCAGTAGAGTGTCATATTTTAAAGTTCTGGGTATATTAGTTATCGGTATTTTGCTAAATACTACTACTTTGCATTATGCTTAAAATTAGCGTCATTTTTAAATCAATTTTCATATGAACTTGAAACCTTTTTTAGGAGTCAACTATCTGCCACAATCACATTTCTGATTTTTTTTCCCCCAAAGGACTTGAAGAGATTTAAATAAGGCCTTTTCATTCGGCTGGTTTTTCACATCACTCAAATATCTAAAAATATATATTAAATCAATCTGAGGTCTCTTCTCACCCTATTTCACGATTACAGATCCCTACCTGTACACCCACCACTCTGTTATACCGCACCCTACACACCTTACAAAAAATTACATGAAGTTGATGAAATCCTCAAACTGGGGAAAATAAACATCTGCCTGCTACAGAGATTCATGGTAGGTAAAGACTGTTTGGAAATTGTATTCCAAGAAATTAACTAGGTAAGGAGAAAATGATCTGCCCCTATATAAATGCATGAGTACCATTTTAGAGTATAAACTCTTAGCTAGCAAACTATATTACCTGCCCATGGGTATGGTAAAATATGTATAGAAATACAAAAGGATTAAGTTACACAATGAAATTCTCCTCTACCTTTTGAACCCTTATCATATTATTGCTATATTAAGAACTGTGGAAACTGAATCCCAAACTTCTTTTCTGATATGCTATTCAGATTTGAAGGCTGGAAGTCAAGACCCAGGCTACTCTGCTTTTCAGCAATCCAATACTAGCAGAATTCTGAAAAGGTAGTTTCACCATTGCCACCCCTGAATGAAAAGGAAAAAGAATAGATGTCAGGTAATATCAACATCAGATGTCACAGGCAGTCATCAGGTTATTCTTTCAGCTGCTTACCAGTGTGACTCCTTTTATGTACCATAAGCACATTGGGCCCAATGCAAACCATGCCACAGACGTCACATTTCAGTTTACCATTCGGAAGCCGGATTCCTCCCTCGCCTTGAAGCTCCTGGACTTTCCTGTTGTCAGCCACCTCGCTGCTCTCAATTAGGGGTTCTTCTAGGCTGCTACCCTCATCATGGCCCCTGATCTCGTCTTCGCGGCTCAGGGGTTTCCTGTCACACTCTTCATCACTCTGCATTTCTAGCTTTACTGAATTTGCTGTAATTTAAAAAGAAGTAAGAAGATATTTTAAATGCATGTTATGTGGCGTTACCTAAATCTCTCTTCACCTCCTGCCATTCTGTTAACATGGCTGGAAATGCGGCGTTATTCACCACTGCAATGTCAACACATACTGCACTCTATGATATTTAAGTAAAGCTTGGACATGAACGTGAAGACGGCCCAGGAAAGCTCTAAGAGACCAGAATGACACTTCATTCGTGTACACATTCTTTCTTTTCTTAAAATTAAATTTATTGGGGTGACATCGGTTAATGAGATTATACAGATTTCAAGTGTATGGTTCTATGATACATCATCTGTATATTGCGTTATGTGTCTACCATCCAAAGTCAAATCTTCTTCTGTCACTATATATTGGACCCCCTTGACCCTTTACTACTCCAACACCGCCCCTCTTCCCTCTGGAAACCACCATCCTATTGTCTGTGTCTATCAGTTTCCATTCGTTTACTGTTCTTGTTTGTTCATTTGTTGCTTTCAGTTTTATATCCCACATATGAGTGAAATCAGTTATATACTTTTAAAGCAAGTCTCTAAATAATTCTGATATTGGCTTTTCAGTTTGTCATTAAGGCTACTGAGACTGAGGTAGGATTATGGAAGAGACAAGATTTGATATTGATAAATCCACTGAGCCTTATCTTTTCTTACTTTAACAATCATTTTACACACACACACACACACACACACACACACACACCCCTCACAGTCTGTGTTTCACATAGAGAATTTGTGTTTAGTAAACCTGCTCTGAACTGAGCAAGAGAAATAACACAGGATACTAGTGCAGTAAATGTGTTAGACATATGAAGGCACACTGTCAAGGCCAATATCCTAAAAGCAGACTAAACACATACATTCAGTTAAGAGCGGTATAAATGTAGAGCAGAGTACACAGACCTCACATGCTCTTAAGCTACTCTGCTTTCTTTTCCTATATGAGAAATGTTCTTCAGAGTATTTCAACTTGAACATGTGCACACGGAAAAGCAATGAATGACAGGGATGGCGCAGCCTGCATGCACGTACTTGTGACTGTTAAGAAACTGACTGCCTTCTGTTTGCTGTTTTTGGATCATCCTACAGAAAAGTTGGAATTTTGTTAGCACAGCCCTCATTCTGGATGCTGACAGAGTCTTCTCACAAAGCAGAAGCACGTTTTAAATCAATGCCAGTTATGTATCTAGTAATCTTGAAAATTTCTTAAGAAATCATATCAATGTTACTGAGCAAAACAATTTATTTGGCATTACTTGAACAGAAGAAATATTTTCATAAAAAAGAAGTTTTTCGCACCACCACTGTTTTCTTAGAGAAAGCACACATTCTGTGATTTGTCATTAGTACTTATGGGTAGTGCTACCAAAATGGCTCTTCCCTTGTTCCCTCCATGGAACTCCCCCACCAACTAGAACACGGATCTAGACTGGCTTTGACATTTACTACCAGTATAATCTTGAACTAATCATTTAACCTCTGAGTCTTAAGTCTTTCATTTGCAGAGAAGAGATGAATTCAGACTACAGAATGAAGTTTGAACAGAATAGTTTAGCTATTCAGACCGAGGGTCCCGGAACCTGGATTTGAACACTAGCAATACTACTGAGTACAAGCAGCTGTCACCTTCTGAAAGTTAATGAGTTCTCTTCGTCCTCTATCAAGATGGGGATGATAATGATGGTGCTCACTTCACAGAGCTGATGTAAGCATTCAACGAGGAAATATTAAAAATGGGCTTGGCTGTTACTTTTCTCTGGACACACAGCACTCTAGTCCATAAGGTCTTTGTGCAGATTAATTAATTTATAGGATGTAAAACCACTCTGAGATCTAAAAGGGATATATAGCCTTTCTATCCCCATCTCCAATAGAACAGCAACTACACTGAGTTTTACCCTATTCACAAATTAGTACTGCTCTACTAATTTTTCAGAAGAGTAGGGACAGTATTTTATCCATCTTAATATCCCCAACAAAATCTAGAAATTTGTGGCATAGGTATTCCAGGCAATATTCAGTTAGGTGTTTTACTTAATTCTTTTTAAAAATCTTTTTTTAAACTTGTTTTATATGTTCAAAGAATCTATGAACATAGCAAAGAAAAATTAATCAACATAAAGCGTGAAAAACGAAGTCTTTTTCTACCCATAGTTTCTACCCTCAGTTCCAGTCTCAAACGCAACCATTATCTTCATTGTCTAGTTCAGTATTGTGTGTGTACATGTGTGTACATATATACAGTCTCTTTCTTACAAAAATTGGACTGTGTAATTCACCTTACTTCAAGCTTGCTTTCTTCATTTAAAAATATCTGTTTAATGTTTTCCATTATTAGTACTCAGAAAGCTATATTGTTCTTTTTTAATACCTACATGAATTCCAGTTTACAAATGTATTGTAATTTACTCATCTAAGTTCTGTCAATAGAAATTTAAAATGATTTCTTATTAACTGCTATTATAGACATTATTGTATAATACCACAAAGAAATAACAATCTGATAAATAATAATTGGTATTTTTCTCTAGTATTTAATCTGCTTTTTTATTATGAGTTATGTTGTGTATCATCTTTATGTTTAAATTTGTTTTTTTTTTTATTTTTTTTGTTTTTTTTTATCCTCACCCGAGGATATTTTTCCATTTTTTTTTTGTACAGATAGAGTGGGAGGGAGAGAGAGGAAGGAAGGGAGAGAGAGAGAAACATCGACGTGAAGGGACACATCGAGTGGCTGCCACCCGCACAACCAACCAGGGCCGGGGACAAACTGCAACCGAAGTACATGCCCTTAGCGGGAACCGAACCCGGGTCTCTAACCACTGAGCCAAACTGGCCAGGGCTAAATTTGTTTTTTTTTTAAACTATCAAAGTTCTTTGCCCATTTTTCTAAGTTGTCAGTCTTAGCTCACTGTATTTAAGTGCTTTATATACTAAGGAACTTAGCTCAGTTTGATATGTCTAGAAAATATTTTGGTTTATCTTTTTATTCAAGGGTATATTTTAACATGCATGCTAATTATAAATTTTTAATTTTTTAATGCTTCAATCATGGCTTCTGGATTTAATAAGTTTTTTCATTCTCCAAGAAATTCTTCTATGATATTTTTTTTCTGGGAAGGAATATTTTTCTGATCAGTGTATAACATTATTTGGTTACCATATATAATCCAATGTTTCACTCATAATTGTCATTTGAAGAAAAAATTGAGAGCAAAACAAATAAAAAGTATGATTTTATATATGAGCAAATTGTCCCATACATTTATTTTAAGTGATGTACTAAAAACTACAAACTTCACAACTGTCATCATTTATATTTCTGACCTAGACAACATCTGATAAGATGTATCTGACTGGGATTTGAACCCACAACTGTTTGATGTATGGGATGACACTAAAACCAACTGAGTGACCCAGCCAGGGCTGCAACCTATTTTTATATATACATATCATATATTAAAATTTCCATATATGGTGGCCTATGTACTAACAAAATCCCATCCTAATTAATTTTTAACCCATCTCACTAAAATTAGGTTGAAATTATAAGATAAAGAACAATTAATTAAACAAAGTAGTCTTTAAATGTTAACAGTGAAATAGAAAAGAATTTTACCTACTCAAAGAACATAAATTCTGGTAGAATTTATTTTCAATGTTTAAGATGTTTCTAATTCATGCAGAACACCTATATTTTAAATCATTAATGATTAAACTCAAGTGCTTGGTAAACAAGTATACTCTAAATTATACTTTATATATTACACAAGAGTTGTATTATGATTATTTGTAGCTATACTATATAAAGCTGTTATAATTATAAATCACTATTTAATCATTAAGTATATTAGTTATCAAACATATGAAATTAAATTCTCATTCTTCATTATATATATATTTTTTTACAACTTGGTAACAAGAAGACATTTTCATAAATGTGCTCATGTCTATAAAGATGAGAACTTGTTAGTGTAGTGAAATCAAATATTGTTATTATAAATCTCAATCCTAACAGTTATTTTTAAGCTGTTTCCTTGATATGAAATAAAAAAATTCAGGCATATCTGTGGAAATTTATAATTATTATGTACTGTCAAGCAATACATCTTAATAAAAACAATATTTTGTCAGGACAAATTATTAGAGTAAAAAGGGAATACAAAATAAGCTTCAATTAATTATCAATTTGTTATTCTAGTATGTATTTAAATATTACCAATGATAAATAATGATATTTAATAGAGGTATCTTTTCTCTTAACTTAAATATCTTAACTTTAAAACAAAAAATCACTAATGTTACAGCATTAATGATCAAGAAGATATTAACTAATTATTATATTGATTTTTTTAGTAAACTCAGCTTTGTGAACAAATTGAAAGGAAAATAATAATTAATAGAAAAATATTTATGATCAATTTTACATAGAAAAAGCTTTAAATATATTTCAGGATAAAAAGTTTGACATATGTATTTATTAAAAAAATTTGCTTCTTGACAAAAACACACTTATGAATTAAAGTTTTTCCCCTCTCCTTTTGCTTACAAAATACTATTCTTGAACATTAGAATATAGCTTAAGATTCTATAAAAACATGTAGTTTAATTACTTCCATTTACAAATGATCACACCAATGCTAAGAGGTAAACAGACTTAGGAGCTCTTGTTATGAATGACTCTCATATTTTCAATCTCAAAGTTTCTTCAATAACCATACTGGGTTCTAACACTCAAAGGCTTCATAATTATCACAGTTTCAAGATACATAATACTGAATGGATTAAGTTACACTAAATTTGTCTTTAATTCACTAATGTGGTATTAAATAAAGTGATATCAAAATAAAGGTATTTATTTGCACAGGCAAACAAATAGAGATCATTGTAAAAAAAAAAAAAAAAAAAGTGTGTGTGTGTGTGTGTGTGTATAAAACCAAATGGTAAAGAACTATTTTGTGAAGCTGTTTAAAATA